CACAGAATCGAGAAGCTTTCCAGCGATGTTTGCTGCAGAACCTCTGTAACCTGGAATTTTTGTACCTTTTTTCATGCAAGAAAATGGCAGAAATAATAGCTGACGAAGACGAAGATGGTATGGATGTTACAGCTCTATAACACTCCCGAGGTTAAGGCATTTGTCCTTGAATTGCCTGCCACAACTGAAATTGATCTGCAAAACGACAATGACTTGCAATTCCATGGAGTCTATTGATTTATGGGGCTGTAGAAAACTAAAGAAGTTGCCTTTCTTTCAATCGACTATTGATGGACAACCGTATTCTCCAACGGCTGATTGAGATATGCAAAGAAGACAAAGAATGGTGGGATTCAATGGAGTGGGAACAGCCTAATGCCCTTAATATCATTCAACCTTTTGTTAAATTCTATTCGGTCCCGGTAGATATTCAGTTGCAGGAATTAGTCGATAAAGGCTTCATCAGTATCCTTTCCCTCGAGTCTCTTGTGATGTCATTTGGGTGGATAAATTTTCAAGTGATAAATAGATTTAGCTCGTATGTATCATAATTCTTGTATTTAAAAATCGAAAGATACTTTCCTTTCAAGATAAGCACAAGAACTTTCTAAAATAATTTGTACTTTAAACATAATTGGGTTGTTCTGTCATCTGGTTGAACATGCATCGTTAATAACTTTTGCAAATACCATCCAATAATCAACTGATAGTGTACATTAGTGAAGTATTTAGGCATGCATAGTATATACAAGATTTAGTGGCTCACTCTTCTTCTAGGCGTACATAGTACTATACAAGATTGGGCAATAAGGAAACTCGAATTACATTTGAGTTGAGATCAAAGTGCAGCTTCAGTATTGGCCTTCTTCAATCAACCAATTAAGTACATATCCATGTGAAAAACCTGACAAGAAAATGAGACTGTTATTTTGTCACCATGATTTCTCATTCACGGTTAAGATTAATAAATTAAATTGTGTTACCTGAGAAAGGCATATATCACCAATATTCTCTGAGAAAGGGTAGAAGGACATCGCGGGCGTTGGGATGATCCCACTCCAATGATTCCCACCATTGTCTCTCTTCTCTTCCTATCTTTATATCTTTGAGAAATGCGGGAGCAGATGGTTGTCCATCGAGAAGGATTTGCAGGTGCAAAGGGACCTTCTTTAGTTCTCAATTCTGCAGGTGCAAACTAACTGTAAACTGGATTCTCACAACAAGGGAGGGGATATATCTAACAACTGAAACTTTTTGATGAAGCTGTTGATCACAAACTCTCTCTTTAATATTCAATAATTAAGTTCTAAATGAAGGCTCAATTTGGGATTGATTTTAGAGTTCCAACTTCTTATTATCGAACAATCGTAGTTATTTTAGATGTTTGGTAAATTTAGAAAAACTAATAATGGAATAATCTTCTTTATACAATAATTATTGAAAGGTTATGTTGTATATGAAGATAGAACTTAACAAGAATTTATAAACAACGAGTTGACCTACTTCCTTGAATGGCTCCAAATCTTCTTCAATTGAATTGAGAAGTACTCAATACACTAATTCTGAGACGAAACTCCAATAGATGCAGGAGTTGATTAACATATATTTACCTTGAATCGTTAAAATCTTTGAGCGATACTTTTATAAGCTTAATCTGCTTACAATCTCAATGAAGTAAAAGGAGAGTATAATTAATTAACGGCGGAAAGCTGTGCGTTGAGGGAGAAGCGTATATGCTAATTTAGAGTTTGTTTTAAAAACATCCATTGGACGCTTTATTTGCCAACCATGTTTTTAAAAATCAATGAATATTAAAGCGCGACAAAATATAAAGTTTTATAGATTGATGAGGTATCAAAATCAAAAAGTAAATAGTGAAGATTTATTTATTTATTTTTATTTGGCCGAAGAGATTTTGATCAAATTATATCTTACCACATCATGTGTTTGTAAATCAGTCTACAAGTGATGATATCACAATGTAAATTCATGAACTTTTTACACATGCCAAAATAAGTCTCACAGAGCATAAGTTGATATAGTTCGTAACTAATTATTAAAAATGAATGCATTAGTGTACCTAGGATTTGTTATACAGACA